GGGCAAATTTCCGAAGGGGGGGGGGAGGTGGGCAAACTTCCTAGGGGCCAAATTTTCGGGGGGGGGGGATTTCCTGTCACATGTTCACAACAGTTACGATTAAATTAAAACCACGTCCTAGAAACACAATCACTACAATTAATATTGAAGCATGTCCAAACACGCCTGAACTTGCCTAATCTCGATAATACAATATATAAGTTTTAATATGCATTGAATAGTGGCTCGAAATGTTGAAAGCTTAATCTCCGTGAAGCAGAAGTATCGTATACATAATCCTGCCAAATCCTGCCAGAAAAAAAATCTTGCAATGTTGGAGTGACAAAGCGGACACTGTGAATCTGTCAAGACTTCTTGTCACCATGGTAATGATTGAAAAATCACAGCTGGTCGCTATTAATCTGAGAATAATATACTCGCTAGAAAATGTGTATATATACTAATAATATAGTCTCTTAAAATTTTGTTATATTAATGTGCATGGCATTAATCGAAAAGAAGAGCCCATGACTTTCTACATGTTGATTAAGCCGAATAGTAGCAAGGAAAGGAAGATTAATTCCCGGCCCAAGCAACGCCAAGGGATCATATCAACTATATTTATGTTACATAAGAACTTCACTAGTCAAGCTAAATATAAACTATAGCACGTAGACGTAGTTATGGTACACAGTATCATCCATCAGTTCATATTATACATGACTACATAACGACAAAACTATTCAATAATGTACAAAAGTACAAAATGCTGAATAAATGTGTAGGTTGTGTGGATATTACGTGAAAACACAAATAAATTACATTAATCGCTTTGTGTTCAACAGTCCGAATCAGCTCCTGCTCAGACTTGTTTCAGACCTGGAGGACGAAGGTTGTCTACACAGTGATATATTGTAGGCTTCACTTTTGGTTGTAGTTACGCAATGGATAGAAAGCGAAACTGTAAAACACCAGTTACAAGGACATTTTGTTTGCTTAGGATAACTTATACTTAAAATCGTGTTTCTATATAAATGTATAATCCATAAAATTATACTTTCTTCTTGCAGTAACATTGATTCTATACGTTTCATACATTTACTGATTTATGATAAATCATAGACAAATCCATTTATGAGAACAAATACTTGAGTCATCCTTATCTGGGTAGTTTGCCACCAGGTTTACTAACAGGTTCTTTATTTGGTCCTCTGAACATCTCCCAATTAGAAAAGCGAGAATTAGGAAGTTGCAGAGGTTTATCATTTAAGAAATCAAAGTTATATTCCGCTTTTCTTTCCTCATTTTGTCTGTACCGTTCTTGTTCTTGTGCAATCTTCTCCGCTTCTCTCTCCTCCAAACTCGGCTCTTCAAACAGACAACGTATGACTTTGTTTGTAGGTTTAATATCTCTTTTTCTCTCTTCTATTTTCGTACTATCCATTGTTGGTCTTTATTGAACGTATTTACAAATATCTACGTCAACAAGCAGTGTCTCAAGTCAACTAAAACATGCACATTCTAAGACCAAGTTCTTAGACTTGACCCGCTTCGAATTTCCGTCAGAAATATGCGAGAGATGTTAATATATGCAAACAACTCCCGCCAGAGTGAAACTTGATTAAGTCAGCATAAAATATTACTGCTTCAGTGCATGTGCATCTGTGGAATGAAGCTACGTATATATTATCTAACTCTATCATCCGACATTCACACAACCATGCATGCTTACTTTCTGAACTGGACGCTATTGGAATAATTCTAATCGGTCTTTCAGGAAGCTGATTCCAGCAGAAGAGTGGTTATGGCAAATTATTTCAGAACCGCGAATAATAAGAAGGCAGATGACATATTATGTGTAATTATTCCTCCGTGATGCATTAATATTCCTTCACTTCCAAGTATTCCTTCACTTCCGAATATTCCTTCAGTCTTTTTTAGTCATGCAGCATTTCAACTCAAAACGTAGGAGAAAATACGGAGAAAATACGCATTATGATTGGATTGCTATATGAGAGCCCGAGTTGGTATTATATTTCAACAAGATTGATTTCCATTACAGAAACTTTTCGCTTATATTTATGCATACATTGTCATATCAAGTAATCTATCGTACATGTAGGCTAGTTTCTAGTTTTTATTGTTGCCAATATTTCACTAGGTGCCAATTATTTAATAATTTCCATAAAATCAGGCATTGTCGCATCCATACCAGTCGGCCGCGAGGGAGACTATATCAATACTTTTACAAAGGCAGCGACAGCGAATCACTGTCCTCGCTATTAGTATAGAGGCATGCAGTAAATTTTCCTTGGCCTGACTCAGCACAGGAAGAAATCTAACGCTGTTATTCTAGTAGTCTTGGGCTGATTGCTGTTTACTTGTAATACTAGCAAAGCATAAAATTGAAATGTTGAGTACTGCATTAGCATACTCCGCATGTACATCATCAATAAAATCAGTAATTTTCCCTCTATAAATTAGGATCTGGCGACGTGTACGTGCCACATATAATTATTATACTTATACAACAGTACTGATGTACAACATTATGGTGTGATCCACGAAACTAAAAATCTTGAGTCAGAGTCAGTGATCACGGTTCCTGACCCGTTTACCTCGATCATCAACATACTTATATACCGTTTCAGTCCAGTCTACGGAAATATTATTATTTATTCTTCATGTTCCATACATTCAATGATTCTAGTTATGGATCATAGACATATCTACTCAAGAGTATCTTGATAGTTTGAGTCATCTTGGTAGTTTGCAACCAGCTCTAAGAGATCTTGATTGGTTATTTGGTCCAACCATCTCCCAATTAGAAAAGCGAGAACTAGGACGTTGCAGAGGTTTATTATTCAAGAAATCAAAATTATATTCCACTTTCCTTTCCTCGTTTTGCCCGTACATTTCTTGTTCTTACGCAATCTTCTCCGCTTCTCTCTCCTCCAAACGCGGCTCTTCAAACAGACAACCTATTACTTTGTTAGTAGGTTTAATGTCTCTATTCCTCACTTCCATTCTCGGATCATGCATCGTGGTCTTTATATTGAACGCATCTAGAAATATTTGCGACCAAGTTCAGACTTGAACCACTTCGAATTTCCCTCATGCAAAGAATTCCCGCCACAATGATGATTAGTCATATCATATTTACTGTTTCGGTTGCCAGTGGGTGCGTATTGTACAACTGAACTGTACACCAGAAAAGTGAGAAAACCTCTGCACCCAGGGTAACTTCAGGCTTGATTCGCTTCGATTTTCCTCAGAAATATGCGAGAGAGAGAGAGTGTTCATTTATGTCAAGAATTCCCGCCAGAGTGAAACTTGATTAGATCAGCATATTTACTGTTTCGGTTGGCAGTGTTATTTCGTTCGGTCGAAGTTCTTTGATCGAAGGATAGAGTTCGGTCAAAATGTGTAATGATACTAGATCACTTTCATAGTGATTAGTAAACCTTTAAACCTCTATAGTGCCCAGTCTGTAGAACAAGATATATATTGTCGATGTTTAATATCACGAGACAATCATTATTACCTTTTTAACAGGTAAATACTGTTTGAATGGCAAATGAACCGATCTTTCTGGAAACGACTATTCGACACTAGACCCTGACTCGAATTAAGCATGTATGAATTAAACAAAATCTTTTTAAATATACTGTCATTATGTTATAATAGCTAAGTTTAATCCATGTATATAGTATAGCTTTTTCGATTTCCGTTTTTCCTCCCACGCGCAGATCTCGATGCTCTGGCGTTATATAGTTACTAATCTATACTCTCTATGTAGCCCATGTTCTCACGGTTAACCATTGGGTAAAAATCACCAGAGTGCATCACATCACATCAAACAAATACTTCAGATTTTTAATATCAAAGATACAAATGAAACGGTTATAATCTGAAATTTGAACGAGACAACTTCTAAGACAATACTCGATTGCGAAACATATCATTTGGCATTTGTGATTTGTATTTCTCATTTTTTTTAAAATCATGAATCCAGCTGTGTCAATAACGTATTGGCAATATGCATATGCTTGAAGATGATTTCTTACTTTAGCCAAGGTCAATTAGGTACCAAGCAGGTTCCATTTGGTTCCATTTATACTAACTGCTGTCAGTGCTGTGACGGTCACCCTGACATGTTCACGACAGTTACGACTAAATTAAAATCATGTCCGTGTTTCGCTCGCAAAAAGAGTCAGAAACTTAGCTCTGCCAGCAGGAAACACAATCACTATATACTGGTGATTAATATTCAAGCATGTCCAAACATGCCTGAACTTGCCTAACCCGATAATACAATATATAAGTTTTAATATGCATTGAAAAGTCTCGAAATGTTGAAAGCTTAATCTCTGTGAAGCAGAAGTATCGTATACATATAATCCTGCCAGAAAAAATGAATCTTGCAATGTTGGAGTGACAAAGCAGTTGTAAACAGACACTGTGAATCTATCAAGACTTCTTGTCACCATGGTAATGATTATAAAATCACAGCTGGTCGCTAAATCAATTAATAATCCGAGTCTGAGAATAATATACTCGCTATAGAAAATGTGTATAGTCTCTTAAAATTTGGTTATATTAATGTACATGGCATTAATCGAAAAGAAGAGCCCATAGCTTTCTACATGTTGAATAAGAATAATACTGCAAGGAAAGGAAGATTAATTCTCGGCCCAAGCAACGCCAAGGGATCATATGACATCAACTATATTTATATTACATAAGAACTTCAAGTCAAGCTAAATATAAACCATAGCACGTAGACGTAGTTATGGTACACAGTATCATCCATCAGTTCATATTATACATGACTACATAACGACAAAACTATTCAATAATGTACAAAAGTACAAAATGCTGAATAAATGTGTGGGTCGTGAGGATATGACGTTTGTTTGGCGGGAAAACATGCATAAATTACATTAATCGCTTTGTGTTCAACAGTCCGAATCAGCTCCTGCTCAGACTTGTTTCAGACGTGGAGGAAGACGGTTCAAGGTTGTCTACACAGTGATATATTGTAGGCTTCACTTTTAGATGGTTGTAGTTACGCAATGGATAGAAAGCGAAAAAGTGACTCTGATAGACCAGACGTTCGACCATCAGATAAAGTGAGAAAATGTTTGTTTGGTACGGCAGACGAACACGAGAAGGACGAAGAATACACAAGAGTTGAACAAGAGAATTTGTCAAGTCTCGAGAAGATGAAAGGGAAATATGGTTACGATTTTGTTGAAGACAAACATTTACACCTTGAAAATACACCGTATACGGTTGTTAAAATTATTGAAGCCCCTTGTGAGAAAGATTTGAACGGAGAGGTATCTTCAACATCTGTTGAGAACGTCGAGAAACATGCTGACTCCACAATAGTCACACCAAACAAGCAGTGTCTCGAGGATGATGATTCGGATTCAAAATCTTCCTCCAGCAACTCAGTAAACGACACCTTAAACGAAAGAACTCAAAATGGGGAAAGGAAGTGTATATGCGAAATTGATAAAGCTTTCGTTGAGTCGAATGGACAGTCTTAGACATTCAACAATTGATGTGGTATTGTAAATAATTATTTATGATTTGATATTCTGTTCCCAGCAGTCTGAATGGCGTTTAGTCAGCCTAATGGAGCTGGACACTTTAATTTGAAGTCGGAGATGTGCTATATGGTATGGCAATGTAGACTGTAGAGTGTAATGACTAATGTGCAGGAATGTTGGTCGGTGAATATTTGAATTGGAACATAAACAATCGAAATATAAACACTCATGATCATGCAGTTCATAAACTATCACTATCAATTCTTTACAGTGTATCTGACTATCTGTAGCTACTTTATAAGATGTCACAAAATGATAAGTATAGACTATAGTGGGTTTGGGCTTGCTGCATGGTATTTCTTGCCTGAATTTGCACAACAAAAACATCATAAGGTATAATCGGGTAAAGTCGAATGCTTATAGTTCCATTCTAATTAGACTTTATTATTAAATAATATTATCATCTCTTGCATAAGTTTATTCTTGATATACATTGCCTTCTCGGCGGACTCGGCCATACCAGAAACCGAGCCATAACTGGTATTTAAGTTGCAGTCATGGATTTCTTCAGAAATATTCCGATAGATATGGCAGTTAATAGATTGTACGTCGTCTGGGCTATATAAGCCGCTGCTGTAGTCCATGTCGTGACATTGTATATATAGTAACAATTAATGTTCGACAATTGACTTTAAGACTCAAAGTCGTTGTAAATAGAATTTTCAGGGTTAAAACACCTGGCAGTATATATACACTCAATTCAGTAATGAAAATAATTAAAATATCTGATTAAATCTATAACAACAGAATGATTCAATTTGGTTTCGTTTTATATACCGGTAGTTGTTATATTGTAATCAACGTCGGTGTTGTTTAAGTTTTAATATATACTTGTTTGCAAGCACGTGCATGGAAATAATAGCATGTGCGTACGTAAGCCAAAATTTACGACAATTTCGTTTTCACTTTCCCCCCACACGAAACACCATATTCTGTATGATTATATCATGCATGCACAGACGCCAAAGCGTGCCGAAGTTCAAAACTCTATACAAATATTCCAATCAAGTAAAACAATACAGTTTGATTTTCATCTGCGAAATAATAAACTTCACGCTGCGAATAACTCTAAACCAAGGCGCAAAATGCAAAGTAATGTATACTGTAGTTTCACTTTAGACGTTCAAACAATAAATCACAGTTAAAGTGACATGGATTTAAATGGTCTTTCTTGCCAGATTTTAAACTCATCAAACATTTTCCGGACAACAAGACAGCAAAACAAATAAATGTATGCGTTATGATTGAAATTGTTGAAATGTTGTCACAAATGCCTTGTGACGAGGGAACAAAATGTTTTGTTAAGGATTTTTTAATAACAAATTAAATGAGTCATGTTTGTTTCGATTTGTTTAAACTTCTGTTGTGGTGCTGACTATAGGTGACCGGTTGCCTAGCTATATATACAACTTGAATGAAACTATAAACACATGTGAAAAAAAGGTAAACATTGAATGATAATTTGCTACAAATGTGTGTCATCAATGTACGAAGACACACGCAGTGAGCCTGACTGATTGGCGAAGCCTAATGTACTAATGAATTAGCAACAATTAAGTATCAGATTCCGAATATCCGTGTAAAATGCTGCAGTTTTGATAACCGAACAACTTTATAATATGTGACCAATGACCACTGATATATATTGTATATAATTATACATATTACTCAATAATACTAGCCTATATTCACTATCAGATACATGTAGCAGTCCTAAATTAATCTTCTCGTTTTTTAATTTTTTCTGGCGTTACGAATTACATTCAGGACTGTAATATATTTTCTTAGCTTTTATGGTGTTCATCAGTTCATGTGACATGCATGTTTATATCTATCCCATTACATCGCTGAACAGTGCATGTTTTCCAGATATTTCTTCAATAATACACACTGAGCCACAGACTCTTATACAAAACATACGAAACTATAAATTCTCTTTGGACTTTGATTTTGTGCAACTATATCCATGTAATAAACAAACTTTTAAGTAAAGTCATTTAAAAATCATTTAAACATCTACTATCTGGCTTGTTTTCTCAGTCTAACTAGTAACTGTTACATTTAACTGATGGTTTGCTGGCATGGCCATGGGGCTCTACAAAAGTGCTTAGATAGGATTTCACATTTACCCAAGCGGCTAGGGAATGCAAACGTACAATATTGTAAAAAGAAAGTGTTATGCCTTGATATATTACGAAATTTTGATCGTCAGTAATGCTCCCACTTAATCCCACATGCCGATAAACAGAATTTGAAAGTCAAATTTGAAATGATGGCATATACACAAGAATGAATTCGTGCACTGTCACTGATGAAAGATAAGAAGGAAAGGTGCGAAGGTGAAAAGGGACACCATTAGTCCATTACTCATTAGAACCAATGAAATATGTTATTTTAATTCGTCAAAAGCAGTATTACTCAACTGGTAAAACTATTTTGACTCCGCTATTTAGTTTACTTTTGGTTTTAATTTAGAATATCGTTAGAATATTTGACTTCAGTAGAGTAGAGTAGAGTAGAGTAGAGTAGAGTAGAGTAGAGTAGAGTAGAGCAGAGTAGAGTAGAG